CTTTAGATTCTCAGGGCTGTGCTTTAACCCACTGCGCCACCAGGGAGAGGCTTGGCTATTACTTTTTAAACAAGAAAGTTGTAACACCTCAGCATGGACAGTCTATTTGGAAAAAAATCCTATAGTCTAAAGGAACTACGGGGAGATTGCCCTTTCCTACTTAAAACGTAAACAGAGTTCAAAATAATTCAAGTGTGTACACGCAAAGTGGACGCCATTTTATTTTACCTGTGGGTAGATTGAGGGTTGTAGGAGCCAAAACGAATGGGTTTAATTATTACTACACACTGATATCCAAGGTCACTCATTTTCTCTTGACACACTTCTACTCAATTTTCAGAGACAGATGAAGACGACAGAATGAAGATGATTCAGTTTTACAAACCAGTATTTAGGGTCCACTGTGTAGCTATGAACCAGGAACTGTCAAATGTGTGGCATTTCCAAGTTAAATACACCAAATACAGCTCAAATACGAAAGTATGATAGTGAGATGCTTAAAATCCATGGGGGGGCATCTCAATTAAGTATTTCTTTTTTTAAATTTTGCTTGTAAGAGTATTGTAGCTTCCATGTTTTTTATCTATTAAGGTAACATTGATCAGAACTCTTGTTTTACAGGTGTGAGGTCTCCCCCTTCAGGTGTTATCATGACATAACACCCACCACTAGCCACCCAGACTGCTGCTCCAGCTCACGCTGGTAACCTGAGTTCTACAGTCAGACTCTGGGGTCTGTGTCTGGTTTGACTTTATCTGATCCATTTTTTGTTTCTCTGTATTCCACATGCAGGTGACACCATCGGGTGGGTATTTGTCTTTCTCTGAGGATTATGCTATGGAATACTTTCTAACTTGGTGACACTCCATGTTTTCTCTCAGCTTCTGTGGCTGTTTCTTCCTACTCTTTGATGGGTTCATTTTACTTTACAAATTCTTCAATAGTTTCCTTTGTTCAGAATACCATTCAAGCCCACTTCTCATCTCATTGTACACATATTCCTGGGTTTTCATACCATGTTTATGGATGGCAGTCCAGGACAGTTACTACTGTGGCTACAAATGTATTTGAGGCTCTCCCTGGTGGCCCAGCGGGTTAAAGCACAGCACTAAGAAGCTTAAGCCACTTCCGCATGAGTTTGATCCCCGCCTGCCCCGGAGGTGACCACATGGCGCCGGCAGACCTCTCCTGACCCGCCCGCTGCTCCCCTCAGCAGTGTACTTCGTTGATCTGCCTGTTCTGCTTCCCACTCTGTCTCTGGTGAATCCTCTCACCCTCCTCATCTCTGGCCTGCACCCCAGTTCTGTATGCACAAATAAATAAATCTTAAAAAAAATGCATTTGATCACATGGCCAGAGACAGAATTGTGTTCCTCTGTGAACATAACTCCAATGTATTCTTCACATTGACATCAGCGTTAACACAGTAAGAGGAAAATTTGATCTGGTTATTCACATTCACGATCTATCAATGGATTCTCATTGCTACAATTCCATACTCTTTGTCTAAAATAATGGGAACAGAAGAGTTTCAGAATCTAGAGTGTCACAGATTTTGGAGAGATGATAAAATAATATATA